TTTTCAATACAGTTGTAAAGTCTCCTGCCGTCTGTTTTGTTTTCCCTGCAATTCCACGCAATGTGATCGGCGTTAAAATCGCCGACTAGAATGCAATTATTAGGACCCAAGTGAATATCTATTAATTTTTTCCAATATTCTAGTTCGAGCGATGGCCCAGGAGAATGATAGCAAGCTAACAAATTGATTTTAGGTTGTACATTATTTAATTCTATTCCAGCAAGTTCAACTGTAGGATGTGGATTATCAATATTTTCGAGAATTTTGAAAGATATACTATTTCTCACGAAGAAGATGATGCCTCCTCCTAGTTGGTGCAGTCTGTCAACACGGTGAGTTTGGAAGCCAGAGTTTTTGTATGACCTTGTGTCTTCCGAGTTGAGTTTTGTTTCAACGCCTATGAAGATGTCGATGTCCTGCAGGGCAAGCTCGATATCCTCACAATGACTGTTAATCCCTCTGATGTTCTAAAAAACAATTTTGAGATTGCATTGGTTGGTGACCGTGCTGGGTTGTTGGTGGGATGATTGATCTTCCATGGTGTGGGTTTAGGATTGTGAACTAATTGAAGAGGCGGTGAGATCCGTCTTCTTCCTGGTTAGATTGGATGTTGTCAAGCTTGTTGACCAAGTTTGTCATCCTCCCTTTGAGTGTTCTATCATCACAGTACGGAAGCAGTTTTCTGAGACTGGTGGCTAACTCCAGAGGGTCCTTGTCCCACTTCATGATCAGTACTCGAGTATCTTTGATCACGAAAGATTGATCAACGAAATCAATAAATTGATCATAACTCAGACAGTAACTGTCTTGGACATTTCTCTCGCCATGCGAGGGGTGAACTTTCTCATATGGTCAGGAGTCAATAGGCGTTCCTTCTTAGATTTTTTTAGGTTCCTCGGTCTTTGTTTCGGGTATTCAAAACCATCTGCGTTCTCCCCTGGGGAGGCAGTGTCTGTTTTCGGGTCTACTGGTGTACCAGGGTGAAGTCGCTTCCCGGGGATGTAAGTTGGGAGGTCCATTGGGTCCTTGATTAGATGTGGAGAATCATCTGTCGTCTCCATTGTTTCTTCGTTATTCTCGGGATTCGCTTCGATCCCATCCGCCTCAGGTGAACTGCTTTCAAACGCTTGACTCAAGTTGAGTGAGTTCGAAGGTGCGGAGTCTCTGATTTGAGTCAGTCTGTGGGACACACTTCGCTTTTGTGTCGACTGAGGCGCTTGGGGACAGTTTTTGGCAATATGGCCTGTTGCATTGCATTTGTAACAGGCTTGACTGTCCACTAGAGTGGTGATCATGTATTGGACATTCCTATGGACGATTTAAGGGTCTCAGGGATCCTAAGCTTATCCTCCTCACGAATTCTGAATTGCCTCCTCCCGCTGGCGACCTCATATCCCTTCTTGTCCAAATTCAGCTTGATGGTAGTGATCTTAGTTACCGGCTCGATTTTCACTTCTCCCAGGGCCTCTTCAATCGGATGACTTGGTAGCTTGGGATTAACTCCTGAGAGAATAACTTTGCGTGTTTTCTGTTTTTCTGGGGTGATGTTCAATTTATTGTCGCCAATAAATAGACTGGTTTCTGGGGCAATGAGTTTGTTAACAAGCTCTGGTGTCGATACGTAAATAGAAATACAATTTCGTCCTGGAATCTTCGTAACGGCCTTGACGTTTTTACGGCCTATGAATTCACCAACTGCGTAGATATATTCTTCAACTGGAGTACCTTGGATTGCATTGATAATGATGCCTTGTTCTTCGGTTGGAAAGTCTTCTTCGTTTTCTTGAGTGTTACTGGTTGCTTGTGAAAAGGAACGGTTCGTGACCTGATTTGATCAGACTGGGAATGTTCCCTGCTGGATTGCAAGTTCAATTGCACTTTATCCCCTTCTTCCTCCATGTTGCAAGGAGGAAATAAAGGAAAAACTATTCGAGTGTAGCCCAAACCGGGCTAGACTCCCACTTTATTCGCCTGTTCAAACTGTAACAATTTTTCGCTGTACACATTCGAGTCGTTCAACAGAGCGGACCCAAAACACGTCTTACCTCAGCGAAGGTTGAGACGCCAATCAATTTCTTCTGTTACAAAAGAAATTTCAGTTTCTCCAAAATTCGTCTACTTAAAATTTTGATAACTTTTTCGTCAGGGGTTTTTTCGTATAATCATTTTGTTGTGATGTGCCACCGGTTTTATGATTTCATCTTTCCTCCTCCATGATGGCAACTGACAGGCTGCCATTTGCGACGGTAATTATACATTACTCATATCTCCTCTATTGAAATCATTGCTTAATAGTAATTAAAAACGCTCCTTCAAAATGTTCAGAATTTTTGTTACTTTTTTTTCAATCTAAATTCAGAATTGTTGAGTGTCCCCGAGTGACAGGGCATCGAGTTGAAGTTTTCAGATAAAAATCGAAGAAAAAATCAATTTAGATAGCGTTCGGCAGATAACGGAGTCGGGCCTTAGTGGCGTTGAAACAATCATCTTAAGCTATATTTGGAGTAATTTGAAGCACGATAGTCAGTAGTAATACCCCAAGAGCTTCAAAATTATCGGGTATTTTCCGATAGCTTCGTTGCAAACGAATGAGGGTGTCAAGTTGTGCAGGTTCAAAAATCCTGAGCGCTTGCACGAGGGATTTTTCTGCAAAACTTGGCACGATGGTTTGTTTGCAGGGGAGCTTGAAGGAAATACCCGATTAATTTTAAATCTCGGGGGGCGTTTATCGGATTATTTTTCCCAATTGAGTTTTGACCAAGCAGAGTGCAGTGGACCACATCAGGAGGTGAATTGGGGAAGATTTGAACAAATGATGTTAATAGAATAATCCGATTTCCATAGACTGTCAAATATAAGATTCTATCTGAAATGAGCCGAAAAAATGAAAAGCTAGTGCGAAATATTCAGGTTTAAAAAACGAAAAACTACTGCGAAATATTCAAAAGCTAGGAGGAAATATCCGAAATAAAACTGTCGGGTAGCCTCAAATACTACGCTCTGATTGGTCGGAATCCGATTGGGAAAAATAATCAAAGATATCCCCCGGAATTAAGATTAAAAAAAAAAAAATTTTCGAACATTTTCGAATAAATCAAAATAACGATTATTGCTATCTCCTTATTTATCTTCGAATCGGTAAAAAGGACATGCAAACAAATTTATCAAGTCATCATTCAATCAAAATAGAACATTGTTTTTAGTTGTCGTGGGACAAACGATTTTCGAAAACATTCAAAAATTGAAAAACTAATAGTTGAATTAAATTTTAATTAATGGCGATCGATAGGGCTCAAAAATACCTATATTAAAAAGAAATAAGATTAAATTCCATCCATTCATTAGCGAAGAATTGAAGAAAAACTTTACCTCACACATACATACGTACACACATATACGGACACATTCTAAAAATTTCATTTTCGGACTTTCTGAATCATAATGGATCGATATAACACAAAAAATCCCAAACTTAAATTTGAACGATTACAATGCTTCCATTCGGATGCAAAAATGGCGAAAAGTTTGGGGAACGTTGTAAAATGACCGATTTTAATTTTAAAATCTCTTTTTCAGGCAGAAGAAATGAAAAAATCATTACTATTCTCTGAAAAGCAGAGAATTTTTTCCAAAAAATATATATATTGAACATTTTTTTATGACAAGCATATTTCTACGTGTAAAAAAGGTTGAAAGATTAGAAACGTAAATCATGAAATGGCATGGATCTCGGCCAATAATCAAGATAGAGTTAAAATTTAAGGCAGGACCATATTCACTGAAGTACTAAAACACATCAAAAATTGAGAAAAATCGGAAACATGGCGCTAACTGACGGAATGATTTTCTGTGGAATTGCCCAGTATATTCACCAATTTTCGCTTCTTCATTATGAATAATGTGGAAGAAGATATATTTTGAAATTTATTCGTTTATGAACACTTGTATTAATATCTCAAGAAAAAAAATTTTATTGTTTAAATATTATGTACAAACTTCATTCATACTAACTCTAGGTTTAGTGGTCCATGAATTTACCTAGTCTTTGGTTACTCTATAGTTAAAAAGGTTTTTGGTTGATAAATGAACCTCGAAACCCCCCCCCCCCCTCCCCCTCCGGTTTTTATAACTGGGAAGCGAAAATTGGTTATTATATCCAAAAAGCCATTTTAAAAATTTATGGGTTGGGGATTTTTTAACGTTGAAGGTTGATTTTTCGACGTTTTCTGGTTATAAAAAATTCAAAACTATAATTTTTAGCAGTCGGAGATAATTTTGGCCTACAGAATCGGATTCCTGAGGAAAAATCATGCAAAAAATGATACTTAAAAAAAACAGGAAAGTTTTTTTCCCGTGGTGAACCTCCCCTTGATTACTTTCTCACTGGTGCAAAATAGGTTTAGGTATCAAAAAAAGGAGAAAAAAAACTGAACATTTTCAAAGGGCGTTTTTAATAAAGATTAAGAAATAAGTCCAATAGAGAAGAAATAGTGAATGGATAATTTATCATGGTAACTAACGATCAGGGAGCCTATTCTCGAATTGAAATCGTACGTTCGACTTCAAAAAGTCGCATACGACCCATAAGGCGACCCATACCACGAGTCGCATGCGACCTATCGAAATCGAACGCACGATTTCAACTCGAGAATAGACTCCTTGACATCCATTGACTAGTGTGACAAATGACGACCTAACAGCCATTAGATACATCAAATTATTAATTTCCAATTCCCTCCCCGTTTGGTTTATTTTCCAATATTATTCAAAAACGCTTTTTGAAAATGTTCAGCTTTTTTCAACGTTTTATTGATTGTACAATCATAATTTTTGGAGACTCTAGGGCTATATAAAACTGAATAGCAATTGGAGATCATTTCAGATTATCAAAATAAAAAAAACAACCAAGATCACGTTCGAAAGATAATCCACCCGGGCCTTAAGGAAAACATTGTCATTTAGTGTACCTATTAGTTTATTACTGGATATGCGACTTTTACCTGCTTTCTCACTTTCAGAAAAATTCTTCTCGGGGAATGCAACATAGAAAGTGATGTACAGAGTACCATAAAGATTATTGTTATCGTAATTGGGCATTCCCTCGCCCTTTTTCCTCATCCTCGCTCCGGGTTTTGTTACTTCGTCTCTTGTAATTGTCACTTTGTGACCATCTAGGTGGGTTATATCTAATGTAAAGCCAATGAGGGCCTCTTGAAGGGATATCGTGATATTTGTATACAAGTCGTCGCCCGATCGCTCAAAGACTGGATGAGGCTGTGTGCGAATTCTGAACGAAGAGAGGAATTGATAATTATTTTGAGTGAAATTAGATTGTTTTAAATATTCATAAAGATGAATATTTACTTGATGATTAAATCTCCACAGTCACCATCGATGTGTGGCTCCCCCTCAGCAATGAACTTGGTCTCCTGGCCATCAACCATCCCAAGCTCCACCTCAACCTCGAGAATTCTCTCTTCATTAACTAATTTGACGTTTGGACATTCTGAACACACTGCTTGTTGAATCATTTGGAATCTCCCGTTTCCTAAATTACGTGTTACTAATTCTTGTCTACAATTGCATTTCCTGGTACCTTTAGCGGCTTTCACCACTAGTTTATTTCTAGTTATCTGTGGAACAATTAAACATTAATTGTTACTCTTTTTTTTATTTCGCTTGTTTGTTGATTTCCTAAACAAAGCGTTCTAACACTAAGAAAAAAAAAATTTCTGCTAAATAATTTGCATATTATTCCAGACAATTAAATCATATACATGATTCTTCAGGTAAGTTATTTTCAAGTTAAAATCGGTGGAATAGTTTTGGTTCATTTTGGTTGAAAAACAAATCGCTTTTCTGAAGAATAGACTGAACCGGCTGAAATTTTGTACTGAATTAGTCCAAATCACTCCCGACTAGTTGAATTGTTTGAGACGTTTAATTATTCCATACCTTGTATTTTTATTTCTTATACCACCTCTAACGGACCCATGAGAGAGCTAGTAGAGAGTTAGGTAAATGTCTACTTTTTCCAAGATTTGAGAGAAATGTGAGAGTTGGGAGATAGTTGGAGTGGCAGGGCCAATTCTCTACTATTCAGTGCTTTTAAAGAGTGAATAGCTGGAGCAAGGTATTTTCTGGCCCTTGTAGATGTTGGCGCTTAAGATTTTTGACCCTTTAATCGGCTGACCCTTATACTTTCCGCCCCTTATAACTCCTGCACCTGAGATCTTTCGACCCTCGAATGTGTTGGTCCGCAAATCTTCTGAACCTTATATTTCCTGATTCATACATACTGCCTCTTATTTTTTCTGACCCTTTGTAGACCCTTCATGTTCTTGACGATTTAATTTGACCCTTAAAATTGCTGACCCTAAAAAATGTTGCATCGTCGCAACTCTTCTTTTTAAGGGTCAGAAAAAATAAGGGTCAAAAGTTCGACGCTACAACATTTTTAGAGTAAGCAATTTTAAGGATGTTCGACACCCTTTTAGCCAAAATTGACGTTGTTTTCATTTTTCTGGCGAATTATCGATGGGAGTGACGTGAAAAAATATAACGATTTTGTGGTTTGTCATTCTTTAATGGCTCACGAAGTTGCGTAGTGGTGCGATAATTTTCATGCGTTTTTTCTACAGTTTTGTGATTCTTTTTAAAAGTTTAGAGA